ACACTTGTCACATAAAGATAATTTTACATTGTCAACATCACATATTTCAACAAATTTAATGACAAGGTCCAGTATCATTACTTTCGATGGCGTAGATGACTGCACCAATCGCTGGATAGTTGTCCGTTTTTTCGATTAACGCCATCTACATAGTATGAAGCAAAACGATGCGGTTGCCTCGGGTATCGTCAATCTCAATTTCTACGTAAGACATTGGTCCCACAGCGATCCCGATCTCCAGAAATTCGTACGCTGTTGGTGTCAACGCTAATAGTCTTGCCAAAATTGTACGAGAAGCCACGCTGTAATGAAAAAAAAAACAAACGAATAAGTGATCTGCAGAGAAAATTATTAAAAACCATATATAAAATACTTACGGTTGAACGTACGAATCCATGCCTTCCGAGCGCCTGATGCAGTAACGTCACACGAACCGCTTTCAAATCCTATCCCCTTTTTTATTCATCATTATCAGAGGAATCAAAGGGAGAATCTTCAGACCTAAAATTCGGCGGATAATAGAAATGCAGGTCGGTAATATACATACGTCTCCGCCTAGGTAAAAAATCAACGATAACACACGTGCCTCGAGTACACGTATGAATTTCAGATCTTATTTCCATTTTACTAAACGTTTTTACCGAAACGTAACCCTGCTGCTCTATCTGATATTTTGAAAACCAAGTATTAGTGCGTGTTGACACATTGCGGAAACCAAGTTCCCGGTTGCAAATTAAACGCGAGAGCGATGAACAATTATGGTTAGCCATTTTTCACAGATTGACTTTCCACAAAAATCCTCGGATGTTTGTGTGACCATTACCGGTCAATGACATCAAAAATGCAAGCATCAGATTTTTAGACACGTCCGGTGATGACATTAATATAGTCTGACACCACAATTGCAGCGTCTGGAAATTTGCAAGTTTCAATATTACTTTGTCCCCGTAATATAAGAAATTTTTTTCAAGGACATTTGACATGTTTTGCAACGATATCAAATAATAAAATATATATAATTTGATATAATTGAGATGCGACATTGTCAAACAGTGCAATATCTGTTAATATACAACTGCTTTATTAGCGGAATATAAGAAATTTTTTCAAGAATGACGATCATTAATATAATTTAATACAAATGCGACGTTGCCAAATAATGTGATATAATTGAGATGCAACGTTGCCAAACAGTGCAACATTTGCTAATATACAGCTGCTTTGTTAGCGTAATTTAAGGTTTTTTTCAAGAATCATTAATATAATTCAAGATTTTTATATTTCAGTCAACACCGATATGGGGCTTGTTGGGCCAATATCTCATAAGTAACCTTATAAACTCAGCTGCTTAAATGAACTCTGTTTTTATCAATACTTTTTATCCTGTGTTAACGATTAAACATATTTTATGTTTAATTGATATTATCAAGAGTTAAGACTTTAATTTTTCTGATTTGTTAATTAAAGCATTTAAAAAAATATTACAAATTATTATATTTAAGATGACAGTAATCAAAATTTGATTAACATACACATTATCCTTTCATGTTTTTAATAATATGTAACCTCATTGAACAGTTATCTTCATGGTTCAACTTATCCTTCGAGAATATTCTACATGTCCACTTACATCCTTGTAATTAATGTAACCTTTTTCTTGTTTATGAGATATATCAAGGATTTATAAGTACTCAATTATTAAACCAGATGAACATGCAACGTTTTAAAGCATTTACCATTGGTCCACCTATAATTATGTGAAGATTTATAATAATTTCAAGAAAATGTGTCACAACACGCTAGTCCCGCTCTACCCTACATCGATAGCATCGAGACTCCGTACTAGATGCTATCAAACCGCTATCGAACAGCTATAAACGGCTATTAGACTGATATTTAACAGCTATAAACAGCTATCAGACTGATATCGAACCGCTATCGGTTCATTTCAATATCTATCTGTTATATTTATTTTAAATATCTACAGGTTAGGGTGGCGAAAATAAAAACATATTAATGTAAGATAACATAGATTTTATTTAAAAATCTTTCAATTCTTCCTGATGTTGCGACCACCAGTTAAATATCTTAAATACATTTTGTAAAGCGCAATTCTTTGCGTGTTTTCCGCATCATATAGTGTTACAATCATCTAGATTACGCAGCACCGAATCGCGGTTTACGCTGTCACATAATGTTCCACATTAATATATGTATATATAAACATACTTGCAATTTTCCTATCAGTTGACGCTCGTCTACAATGTTAATGTTAATGGAAAAAGATTTTGGCATGTGATGAACAACGTTGGTTATTATTTTATGTATGTTTACATTATCGGTTATTTTGTCAGATCTATCAGGCAATAGGTCTGTTTGCGTTACATGAAAGCTCCAAATATTTTTGCACTTAAAATGAAATAGATATATATTTGGCTTTGAAAAGAGAGAAAGCAAAAATGTGGATTGCAAAAAGTCCAAGCAACGCGAACAGACCTAATAGCGGTAAATGTATTTGTATCTTGCACACAACATCTAGCAAATCACTAATACACTCCATTATTGCAAGACTCACTAACAGCTATCTGACTGACCTACTGTCTTGGAAATGACTGACAGCGCGGGGGTTGTGCGCGATTTTATAGTAAAGATGTTCGTTGGAACATGATATCATTCCAAGGAAAAGAGCAATGCCTCGGTAAAAAGTTTACACCTTAACCGAAAATTATATCACGTGATCAAATGATATCATGAATAAACTTCAGCATTTTTATCAATTATAATTTGATCAATGCGTTATATCAACATGCGAAAGTACAATGCCCCGATCAAAGGTTTATACCTCAGCCGAAAAGTCACGCGTTCGAACCATTCCACGGAAACTTCATTACTTATCAGTAACAATTAGATCATCACAATCAATATCAGCGACAAAAAGTACGTCTCGTGTAAAATCGTATACCTCAGCCATAAAGTATACGAGACGTCGCGCTCGAAAGAATTTACCTCAGCATTTTATCACTAGCAGCGCCTCGCGATATCGAACGGCTATCAGTCCATTATAAACAGATATCAGACTGATGTTTAACAGCTTTTAACATCTATCGGACTGATATTTAAGAGCTATAAACAGCTATTATCCTGATATTTAACAGCTCTAAACAGCTATTAGACTGTTATCAATCTACTATGAACATCCCAAACATTGCATTTTTACTATTGTTGAGTGGGAACGAAAATATAAATACTGACGGGGATCGCGCAAAGTCAGTCTGTGCAAACATGGCTAACCGTAATTGTTCATTGCTCCCGCATTTGATACGCAATCAGGAACTCGGTTTCCGCAATGTTTTAACACGCACTGGTACTTGGTGTGCTAAACATTCAACACTTCGAAAGGGTTTACGACTATGATGAATTAGACGGTCAATGTAGACGATCAGCGTTTTCTACATGTTGTAATACTTGGTGATATTCTTTCGTGGTATTGCACATGGGCTAATCGTATCTGTCGGGGTTATTATACATCTTGCATGTGTGTGATTAAAGATTCTCAAATAATTTCATATGAACTATTCTCTAAGGGCGGTATTCATAGTCGTTTCTTATATTTAAGATCGCCTTAAGTTCGATCTTAAGATGTCTTTTAGATTCATAGACAGGGAATAAGGTGGAACTTAAGAAAAAATTCAAGCTGTGACTTATGGAAGTCTAGCTTATTTGAAGATAGTCTTAAGCGTTTCAATAAGATTCATAAACATATCTTATTTCATATAAGCATGATCTTAAGATAGTCTTATTACTGTCGAATTCACAGTCATCTAAGACGATCTTAAGCATTTCTCTAGTAAGGAAAAATCCAAGTCGAGTGAATAGTAGACTTAAGTTCATCTTGTTTGATTTATCACGCACACAGTACTCAATTTAAAGTTTTTAAAGTTTAAATACACCTTGTTATTTCAAACGTTGAGGTGAAAAGTTTTTAAAATGGAAATAGAAGATATAAGAAATATTGATTTAGAAGATATAAGAAATATTGATTTAGAAGAAGTTGATGATGATTCTATAAGCGACGATGAAGGTTATGTGCGTGCTCCAAAAAGATACATAAGAGACTGGATCAATCCGTTTGAAATATATAACAATCGAGAATTCAAAAGACATTTCCGATTTAATAAAGATTCCATTCTATATGGAATTTTACCTCCGATAGAAAATGAACTTACATGTAATAATAACCGTGGTCTTCCCATTCCTTAATTGTATCAATTATTAATTTGTCTACGATTTTATGCAACAGGAAGTTTTCAAGTATGTAATTCAAATAATAAAATATATAAAGTAAAAATACACATTAAAAAGGCATCTTTAATTATATTTCAAAGAATGTTTGTTTTATACATCTATGTTACAATATTATATCATTAATATAGTTTAATTTTTGTAGCAAGTACTTGGAGATACCATAATTGTCTCACAGCCAACTGTCTCAAGAACAGTTTTTCGAGTATCTCTTTTAGCAAGACTCTTAAACCGATATGTAAAAATGCCTTCTTCGCCAGATGCCATACGAGAGAATCAAAGACTTTTTAAAGATATCGGATGTGGTAATAGAGGTATTGGTTTACCTGGTATTGAAGGAGCAATTGATTGCACGCATATACGCTTAACTGGTACAAGATTCCATAACATAGAAGAAATTTAAAGAAATCGAAAAGGATATTTTTTATTAAATGTACAGGTATGTATATAAAGATTTAAATAGAGTTGTATGCCATAAATAAAAAAAAATAGTTATTGGTCATCATATATTATATACTTGACGTTAATATAATATTATCAATGTAAAATATAATGTTATATTATATTTACATTATATACATATTTTGTTATAAATATTAATATAGAGTCATTTTGTCTTTTTTCGTATACAGGCTGTTGTAGGCCCTAGAACAGAATTTCTGGATATTGTTCCAGAATGCCCGGGTGGCCAACATGACAGTCGAATTTTCCAAAACTCTAGAATATACATGCGATACGTTCAACGACAGTTAACAGGAACTCTCGTTGGAGATGCTGGGTATCCGTGTCTACCATTTCTTTTAACTCCAATTCAAAATCCAGAAACAGATGAGGAAATTGCGT